AAAACTTGGAAAGGTTAAACAGGTTTGAAAGAAATTAACGAATACCATTCACCGATATAAAAGCTCCTTCTGTCCTGCAATCGTTGGGTAATTGCTGTGATTACGGGCATAATAGAAAGAAACGTCGCGACGTTCGATTGCGCGACGGTTCGAACGTTTTTCACGGGCGACGTAACGAGATTTGCTTTTTCAAGTTGCGCGAGACCGGTCACGACGACGGTAAATTGACCGATAATGTTGCTTGGCACTGATTGCTGGATAGCAATGATGGATGCACGGGGGGCGTCCCTCCGCCAGCTCTGTCCTTTACCGTGTACGCCAAGGTCGCTAACCTCACCGAGCCCTCGGGTACTCTTTGGCGCCACACTCTCTTCGTACTTTTAGCTCGACTCACCGTGTTGTCCCGACCAGCGAACAAAACACCGTGCCAGCCACGATGGAACGTCGCGATTCTCTTCTGGGTTAGAATCCTCCGGGGGAGAAGTGTCTAGGATTTATACGAGGGAGGGTCGAAGGATACGCGTCGATAGTAATCGATGTAAGTTCTCGAGGAGAATGTCGATTATCCGTGGCTATCGGAGCAATTTGATTAATTTTCTCGTTGTTAGGTTAAGTATTATCGCTGCTGATGTTTCCGTGTGATTAATGTTCGTATTGTTAAACTCGTCTCGCGGTGAGGTTAGATTATCGATAGTTTGAACGATCTCTTGTTTTTATCGATCGACAGTGATTTAGGCGGGAAAATGTACTTCGTGTAATACGTCGAATGAATAATAGCAAATATATGTAGTTGAATTTAAATGCATCGAAATACCAGGATAATTTTGTTAATTAGATAAGTATTTACGTGAAGACTGTAATATGGATGTTAATCGTGTAACTGAGTTACTATTCACCGTTCGTGTAAGTGTACGTTAAATTATCGTCGTGTTTTTTCTTGTTGCAATATACGTATAATGAAAATATGACAGGAATATCATGACTAAAACATGTTAAACAGTTTATGGTTTCTAAATGGCGATTAAACTTTTACTTTTAATAATTACACATCGTATATTCGAGTTACCATATATTACCATATATTTGAGGATTACTTGAGAATTAATACATACCATTAAAACCAGTTACCTTTACGTTTTAACGATACGATATCCTATTTATGTACTGCGTTAAACGAAAATAAAAAGTCTCTAAAAATATTCCCATAAACCCTTTACAAATATAATTAATTTCACTAGAATCCTTCGGTAAAGGCTTCTTTCCAACAACGACTTACAATTATATATTTACCATCTTTACATTCTCAACTTCGACAAAGTAAGGTTAGGTTTTAACTCGAAATTTTTACCGAAGAAAATTTCGGAATTTTTTCAGCATTCGAAAATGTATACAGGTAGGAATGCATGGAAAATGAATCGGTGTCAATCAACAGCCGGAAGGTGTGTGTCTTCGGTCCTTGATCTCGTTCCCTTTTAAGAGCCGCGAGTAAAATCTCTTTTTCTCCTGTTCTTATTATCATTAATATCACTGGTCGCACATCGCTGTTCCACTGAAACCCATCGCGGAATGCGAGCCACTCCGATTTCAACCGCAGTTCGACCGGGCAAAAATTCTTAACATTGCTGAAACCGGCCGATGAGGTTATCGCATCATCCGTTCGATACGGGCCTGTAATTACGAGACGCAATTACATAAACCGCTTTTTTATCTTCGTTAATTAGCCACGCGCGCATCCAACGCTGCATTATAATATTGCAGATTACGCTTCGTTTCTGTTCGCTAATCGAACGATCGTTTCAATCATGGTACGTCGGTAATAATTCGAAATTACATAGCCTTTGTTCGTGTTGTAAAATTTGCTGTTTTTTGTATTCACGTGGATGGAATGTTGGTCTTGTTAGACAGGGAAAAAAAATGTAGTACGTGTCGAGAAAATATATAGTTGAAATCGGAATTCGTGTCGCCATCTCGTTGCTGGGAAAGTAACGGGAATACATATGCTCGCTGGATGATAAATATGTAAAAATTTATTAATTTTTTAAAAGGTTTTAACAAATATTTGGATAAGTAGAATTTCTATGAAGTTTCAGGAAACGTGGCGTATTCATATATGAATAATTCAGGTGGAATTTATAATGCATTGTAGCCGTGTAATCATTCGTGTGATGTACTTTGGAGATTTGTATATCATTAAGTTTATATTTCATGAAGAATTTTTGCCGTATAAATTTTTTAGAAATTTTACAGTCTGTACTATTTTTAAATCTATACCGCAGACGAGGTACAGGATAAACCTATCACCATACACGAGGTACAGGATAAACCTATCACCATAGACGAGGTACAGACTAGACGTATCACCCAATGCAGTTTTTTGTCCACGTCACAGGAGCTCTAGAGCCCCCTTACCATTTTCGTGTCGCACCCAACGTGACCGATTCAGCATAGAAGAAGATGACAACATTAGTAGTGGTTAGAATTAGAACTAAATGTAATTATAAGATGGGATGATAAGAATTTTATACTTCTAAATGTATATTATATATTAATTAGGTTGAATTTCGGGTTTTTCTCGATTTTTACGCGTTCCTAACGATATCCGACATGGTTTATTCAATTTTGTAATGGAATATTATTTAAAGAATGAGTGTTGCGCAAAAAGAAATGAGTATGGTGTGTGATACATGAATAGAGTGTAAAATGGTGTGAAACAATACTGGCATGTTGTAACCTTTTGTAAATACATTTTTTACAGTTATTTTACAATAAATAATTGATTTTCTGTTAAATAATTGCATTACATCATTTTTCCCGATATTGAAATCCTTTCCCTGATTCCTGTGGTGGCCTGAAACTTCACTCTTTAATTTAAACAAAAATTTAAATTGTTATTTAACGAGAAACACTAATTATTCTTCAATCAAAGTATTTGCAAATAAAACAGAAACTTTAATAAATTGATAAATAAATAAATTAATAAATAAAGCTGCTTTTTCCGCTTTGAATTTCGAACTTGGAGATCGTTTGCATGTCTAAGAAGTGGTTGACTTGCACTACTGGCTTACTTCGAAAAATTTCAAGCCTCTGAGAAATCGTTGACTTGCACTACTTACTAATTTCGACAAAATTCGAGCGTCTGAGATATGGTTGAGTTTACTACTAACAAATTTCGATGTTTGACTTATGGTTGACTCGCAGGAAATCTCAGAAAATTTTCATATTTCTGCGATTTCCTGCGAGTCAACCATAAGTCAGACATCGAAATTTGTTAGTAGTAAACTCAACCATATCTCCGACAACCAGTTTCGACGTCTGACTTATGGTTGACCTTCCTGATTTTCGTTCGATTTTCGATTATCCTGCGGGTCAACCATAAGTCAGACATTGAAATTTGTTCGAGTCAGTAGTGCAAGTCAACCATTTCTCAGACGCTCGAAAATTTCGCAATACGCAAGTAGTGCAGGTTAACCATTTCTCAGGCATTCGAAATTTTTCTGTGCCCCTAAGCTATTTTCGCGCAAATCTCTAAGTTCTCCGCTCGAATTTCGAGATTTTTACGTTCATATTGATTTTTACACGTTCCTAACACTATCCGGACTTAGTTTACTTCATTTTTTAATGAAATATTATTCAAATAACGAGTGTTTCGCAAAAGGATGTAGATTTGGTGTGTAAGGGATAAATAAATAAACTGTAAAATGCTGTAATGCAACACTGGTATATTGTAACCTTTTGTAAAATACACTTTGTACACTTATCTTACAATAAATAATTGATTTTTTGATAAATAATTGCATTTCTTGATGTTTCCCGATGTTGAAGTCCCTTCCTTGATTCCTGTGATGGCCTGAGAGTTCCATCTGTAATTCACACAGAAAGAACATTAATTTTTCAATGGTCAACTAAAGTTATAAACAATTTCTAACTAATCTACTGAATGCAATTGTTAATTTAATGCAAAATTAATAAAATAAGCTGTTGTATTAAGTTAAATCATGCAACAAATTTATTTAATATTTCCAATAGTTATAAACTACCATATAAATTGTTATTTGACAAGAAACACTAATTAATCTATAATTAAAGTACTTGAAAATAAACCAGAGACTTTATTTTACTTCTACATTATTAGTAATGTTAAAACAATTAAAATTTTGTTGTAAGTATCAATTTTAAACTACTTACTACATGCAATTATATTCTAATTTACAATAACTATTATTAAATGTAAAAAATTCGGAGAATTTCAATTTTAAAAATCAACTAACCTCATAACACTTCATTTTTGACGATGCTCTCGATAATACTCTCGATCCTTCCTTCTGTTGTAATGAACTATTAGCGAAGGCGTCATAACTTTTCCTTCATCTTCCACTGTTAGATCTCGAAGCCCACCAGAAGCCTCAAGATTACATACTTTGCCGGACAACATCTTTATCTACGGATTTAATTATTAATTTCTTTAGCGTCTGCCGACTTTACCATGTTATATAATTCCTAAACTCACCGCTCTATTAACGTAGAGGGCAGAACGAAACCTCTGATTTTTTGCACGATCGGTATTTCAGAACGTGAGCATAAAGTCCCATAAGATCAGAGATCTATTTTATACCTTATCTTACATTGCAACAACTTTAAACAAATTATACATAAAGTTAAAATTGTACATTTCACTTTTAACAGCTTCGATTCGAATTGTCAAACTTTGTTGACAACAGAATTATAATTTAATACACCTTTGTCTGGACTTTTTTTTTTTTTACAAATGTTTCGTGCTCCTTTATCAAGCATTCTGTATTTTTCAAGCAAGAAATAAAAAATTTTCTAGCCTGAATATATTTTGTCCCTTTTACGAGATGTGCGAGCGCCATCTGTTGGCTGTCTAGGTTCATGATCGCACCCACAAGATAAAATGAAGTTAGTGAATCGTGCGTCAAGTCACGGGAAGTGTGCGCATGTTATTTAAAGCTCACTGACGTGTGTGTACAATTGCGCGCGCAATGAATCAGGCACCAGTGTCGTGTATTCCAGCCGGGAAGATGTCAAAGGCGAAGAAAGTGCTAGATGAGGCCCGCGAGATCCAGAATCCGGAGCTGGATCTCGCGGACAAGGGTATCTCGACGTTCGAGGAGATGCCAGGATTGCGTGAGTCTTCCATATCCTCGTGGGTCCCGTTCCGTTCGCCAAATTAGGCAACTTGTCTTGACTGGTTTTTTGGAGCGGATGGAAATGCGAAGTAGCCATTTGTCGCTCCCCCACGAGGTGGGCGTACCCACGCATGCGCGCGAAATTATTTAAAACGATAAAAACAATACGAACGTAAACGATAGTATTGCTAACAAAAATACCTTATTTTTTAAACTTTCAAACATAAATATTAGTGTGTGTATCAGTGTGATTGTTATGGAATATTGTTTATGATATTTGGCGTTTTGGAACTGGATTTGTAAAATGTAAGATATAAAAGGTGGTATGTTAAAGTACTCTCATGTTTCAGTGACTATGGTCAACATCACTAGATTGACTCTGAGTCATAATAAACTTACAGGTAAATTTATGCAATGCTGTAATGTTTGTCAGTGATGAATTGCATTATCTACTTAATTTGTTTTCTTTGTTCAGCTGTACCACCAGGCCTTGCAAATCTAGTCAATCTGGAAATATTGAATCTATTTAATAATTATATTACTGAGCTTCCAATTTCATTGTCACAAATGCCAAAGCTAAGAATTCTAAATGTAGGGTAAGTTCTTTGCTTGAATTATTATTAGTCTTTAAATACTTATTGAAGTACACTTCTAGGATGAATCGATTAAATGTGCTTCCACGTGGATTTGGTGCATTTCCAGTATTAGAAGGATTAGACTTAACATATAATAATCTAAGTGAGAAGAATCTACCAGGAAATTTCTTTATGATGGGTTGGTATAAATTCAATATTTGAAAATTATATTATCATGCTAGAAAAATAAAACCAGAATATTTGACTTCTCAGAAACCTTAAGGGCACTTTATTTGGGTGATAATGACTTTGAATATCTACCAAGTGGGATTGGGCAGTTAAAGAACTTACAAATTGTAAGTGAAGTAACGAGAAACACCTTTATATTACATATATTTTTTCTTAAACACTTGATTTTCATATGTATTCTAGCTTGTACTAAGGGAGAATGACCTAGTTGAATTGCCGAAAGAAATTGGAGAATTAACGCGGTTGAGAGAATTACACATTCAAGGAAATCGATTGAGAGTTTTACCACCAGAAATTGGTACATACTTGTTAAAATAATATCGTATTAACAAATTGTATGAACCTTGAGTGAAACAGTTTAAGTTTAATATTACAGGAAATCTGGACTTAGTAAGTAATAAAGCAGTGTTTAGAATGGAATTTAATCCATGGGTTACGCCAATTGGCGATCAATTGCAAGTAGGCATATCTCACGTTATGGATTACATTCGTTCTGAAACCTATAGATAGTGAGTATTATATGTTTTTCCTTTAAATTTAGAAGTATATTGTAATACTTAACGACTACAAATGTTTTTTTAGTGTGTACAGTCGACACCAAAATGCCAAAGGACCACCACCGCCTATTGAAAACGACAAGAGTAAGAAAATTTCTCGTCTTCGTTAAAATGGAACAGGAAACAATTAACAGCTCGAGAAATATTTTTAAACTAACACAATTTTCTTTTTAACCCCTTAAGTGTCCAAATAAATTTGAAACAATCGTCTAAATAATGCCCTTTTTTTTTCGTAAAAAGATTGGGTAGTAAAATTATTTAGATGTTCAAAAATTGACTATATTTTGAGCACTTACTGAGTATTATTGTCCACAAAAGGACTAAATTTTTTTAATGAAACAAGTCTTTTAAATAACATAATTTTTGAGAAAAGTGGTGTTTGGATACTCGTCTGTTTTATTCAATACCATTGAACTAAAGGTTTCTTTATTATATCTCGTAAAACGTTATTAATCACTTACCAAATACAAGATTATTGTTATAAAACCAAATAATAGTCACTAAAACAATACTAACGACTCTAACACGATTCAGTCAAAACTAACGCCAGGGAAAAACTCTTATTACGCTTTTCTTCCCTTCCGCCATATATCCACGATGTATTTTGAGATATTTTCAAGTATTTTTATAATCCACGCAACCTCTCACTCGTCTATGCCCCGATATAAATAAAGTATCGATGGTCACCATGTGTCATCGGCCGAGAATTTCTATCCCTATTGACTCTCACTTTCTCTTTCATAACTTTCTTCCTGCTTCTTATTCCTGGCTGGACACATAAGGGGTTAATTCCCTCACTGCCGATAATTTCATAGCTATAACATATTTGCAATCAAAGTGGTGCCTTAACTATTAACACAGAAATATATTTCTAATATGCATTCGAATTTTCAATGCATACATGTAACATGCAAACATATTTTAATGATTTATGTATCATACAATGTATTGTTATAAGGCCTAAAAAATAAGCGATATTTTTATAACGATTGGATAAAGAATATAATTTATACAATAAACTATACTTTAGAATAAAATTAGGAACTCTTTTCACTTGTAGAAGTAGTAATCCCTATTTGATTGGTTTCAGTTGTGAAGTTAAATTTTCATTGAACATTTCTTTCTTTTAAACCATAGTTAATTTACCTCCTACTGTAGACTGGGTATAACTGCATGCATTTCCTTCTCGTATTACGTAATTAACTGGATGCAAACAACCTACATAAATGTGTTTGCACATATGAGTGTGCTTTTTGGATACACGCAGTGTTTATTTAAATATGCACGATTTCGGTTCATTAGTGTCGATATTTAATAATGTTGCATGAAAGAGTGAAAAATAACGAATCGAATTGAACAAGATGCTAAAAGGAAAAAATAAATCGACGAGGATGGGATTCGAACCCACGCGTGCAGAGCACATTGGATTAGCAGTCCAACGCCTTAACCTCTCGGCCACCTCGTCTGCTTGTACGTACCGAAAAAATGTTGTTGGAACAGGGGTGACTATGTCCTGTGAAATAAAACTACTTCTTAGAGTCCAATAAATACGATAACCTTCAAATATATCAATATTGAAACCTACAAGTTTGTGAATCTACAATAAGAGCGTAAAAAAGTGTGGAAATCTGGCAATATCTATTCAATTATAATAACGTATAGATCTATAATATTTTTAACGATAAATTTAATACATTAACCTACTTATGTTATAGAATTGTATTAATCGTATTCTATTATTCGTTAAACAACGAAAATAGTGACTGTGAAGCACGTCAATATATTCAAATTAATACAATTCAATTTAATATACTGTTTATAAAAATAGAAATTAAAAGTATTGCGTTATATTTATCAAAAAATTGAGTTTAATTGTAAATTGTAACAATTACTGTAACATGCAATTTATCGAATACATGAGCATTATTGAAAGAAATCAAACAGTGTATCATTCATTTATCCTCAACAATCTCCTTATCCACTGCAACTTAGAAAAACAAAATTGCAGATAGAACAAAATTCTTCGAATTAAATCGCCGAATAGTTTATTATAATAAATACCATTTCCTAGCAACGTGAAACAAAATTCTTTCGTATCATGTTTCGCTCATTCAGTTGAATTCGTATGTTCGTCCTGCCAACAAGACCGTTCGTCTCACCTTTATTTCTACCGAATTATTAAAAAACGCCATCATGGTAATTACTCCTTCATTTATAATTAAACGTACAAATAATTACTTATTGAAAAAAATCGATATTTTTTAAATCTAAATAACTAACGAATCCTAACATTGACTAATGCAAGAAGAATGAAATATTCAAAATTTATTATTAATTTAAACTAATAATTAAATCTATTTTATGAAATATTAATAAAGAAAATGGTTATTCCATTAATAGCCACATGTTAATTTTTATTAACAGCTGGAAACAGCGTCAAATTGGTACTAATTAAATTAATACAAAATGAAGATTAGTTTTGTTAAGAATTTCTTCAATTTATCAGCGTGAAGTACTGTCAGTCCATATCGGCCAAGGCGGCGTCCAAATGGGAAATGCCTGTTGGGAACTGTATTGCCTAGAACACGGCATACAACCTGATGGAATGCTTCCACCTCAGAGTTGCTCCAGCGACGAAGGTTTTCAAACTTTTTTCAGCGAAACTGGCGGTGGAAAATATGTTCCACGAGCGGTATTTTTGGATCTTGAACCCACAGTCATAGGTGAATTTATATTACGAATTTTCATATAGATTTCATTATCACTGTCCACTTTGGAACGACGCTTCTTCGTTATAAATTTGGGCTACTTAAAAATTCTTACAGAATCATAACTTTTCTTCTGCTATAATTTTAAGTATAACTAGGGAACCATATTTTTTTGCATTTATCTTCAAACCTTAGAAATGAAAAACAAATCCTGACTTTTTTCAAAGCTGTGTGTATCAATTAATAAATTTAAATTTGTTAGTAAATATCAATTCTAAAAAATTATTATTTCAAGCATTGTTCATTCATGAATTATTCCTTTATCCTTAAAACCTTATAATAATAAATGAACTTCTACATTAACTCTAGAAAACCTAAAAGTATTATACAATTACTTTCTAACGTAAAAACTGACATAATATTAGTAACCTACCCAAGTTATTTATTATAAAAAAAAAAAATTTCCAAAAACTTCTTAAGATTAACAATGAATATTATCTAATACTTGTGAATGTATAGCACATACTTAACTTTCCGAAAAATCTAACAATACTGAAATTAACAACACCGATCCTCGTCAAATAAAACCAAAACCAACGTCTACCCCAAAAACTCACCCCACAATAAATTACACAAACATCAAAAACAAAAATTTTTTAAAAATCCCCCAAAAATTAACGAAAATATTCAAGCTACCCCATGGTCCTTCATTTCAGACGAGGTTCGAACAGGAACCTACCACCAGCTCTTCCACCCGGAGCAACTAATTTCCGGCAAAGAGGACGCAGCGAACAACTACGCTCGAGGGCATTACACCCTTGGAAAAGAGATAATCGACCTAGTTCTGGACAGAATTCGCAAAACAGCGGACATGTGTAGCGGTCTTCAGGGTTTCCTCATTTTCCACGCGTTCGGCGGTGGTACCGGTTCAGGATTCACCAGCCTACTAATGGAACGTCTCTCGATGGACTACGGAAAGAAGGCCAAGCTAGAATTCGCCATTTATCCATCGCCCCAAATTTCCACAGCAGTCGTGGAACCTTACAACGCGATCCTAACTACGCACACAACCCTGGAACACTCTGACTGCGCTTTCTTAGTAGACAACGAGGCGATCTACGATATTTGCAGGAGAAACTTGGACATCGAGAGACCAACTTACACGAATCTGAATCGACTGATCGGGCAGATAGTCTCCTCGATCACAGCTTCGCTGAGATTCGACGGAGCTTTGAACGTCGATTTGACGGAGTTCCAAACGAATTTGGTCCCCTATCCGAGAATCCATTTTCCTCTGGCTACTTACGCGCCGATCGTCTCCATCGAGAAAGCTTATCACGAGCAACTTACGGTCATGGAGCTGACTTCGTCTTGCTTCGAACCAGCTATGCAAATGGTGAAATGCAATCCTCAGAGAGGGAAGTACATGGCGTGCTGTTTGTTGTACAGGGGTGACGTGGTTCCTAAGGATGTCAACGCTTCCATCGCGACTATTAAGACTAAGAGAGCGATACAGTTTGTTGATTGGTGTCCTACAGGGTTTAAGGTAGATTTCTTGTTTGTTCTCAGAGATTAGTGGCGTTCAGAGTGATTTGATGTTGGAAATATTGAAGTTGGGGTGAATGGAAAAATAAGTCGAGGATGTAATTTTTTTTACATACGTGTGCGAAAGAAATTTTCATTCAATATGCATGCACTTCAATTTCTGAGAATTTTTTTCTCGTTTCAAAACCTCTTTCGTGTGATTTTCAATATTTTGAAGAATTGAGTATTTTTCGATCTGAAAGTTCCTTTAACGAATTAATTTTCTTGGTTCCAAATCTTTTTCATATAATTTTCAATATTTTATAGAATTGAGTATTTTTGGTTCTGCAAGTTCCTTTAACGGATTAATCTTCTTAGCTCGGAATGCTTTCTGTATAATTTTCTGTTTTGAAGAACTGAGTATTTTTGATCTTTCAAGCTCCTTTAATGGAATAAAAAAAATTTGGTATAATCTTTGGGGTTTCTATTTATTGAAAATGGCGCTTTGAATTTTAGGTAGGAATTAATTATCAACCACCGACGGTAGTGCCTGGCGGAGATCTAGCCAAGGTGCAACGAGCTATGGCGATGCTCGCAAATACTACTGCAATCGCTGAAGCGTGGACGAGATTGAACAGAAAATTCGATCTGATGTTCGGGAAACGTGCATTCGTCCACTGGTAAATTATTTATCGTGTTAATTAATTAAATTTCATTTCTCCCCACTCGTGTTCTTCCATTTTGGCTCTATTTCGTGATATTCCAATTCAAAAAATTGTATCTTTAATTTTGATTCTTTTTTTAAATAAAAATTCAGGTACGTGCAAGAAAGTATGGACGAAAGTGAATTTAACGAAGCCAGAGAAGACTTGGCCGCTTTAGAAAAAGATTACGAAGAAGTTGGTATGGACTCGACAGACGCTGGCGAAGGTGAAGATGAAAATTAGATAAAGAAATGTATCGTTGAAATAACGTAGGAGAACTGACGATTCATCAATTTTGTAAACGTTATACATTGTTTTCGTTGATTTTAATTGTATTCGTCTTGTACATTATTTTGATAAGTTCCTTTATTTTTAACGGCACATGTACACGTTTCTAAGCTTTTGTATTGTAAATAAAAATTTTCCTTTAATTTCACTATTCCTCGTTTTATTTCGTATTTAAAAAACTACGTGATTCAGGAAACTAAGAAATTTCTATTTGAAAATTTAAATAAATTCTCTTATGCACCGTCGACGAAATTAGAATTTCTACCATTGCCTAAATTTCAACTGCTAACCTAGCAAAATTTGAAATTCGAGAAAATCAATCCATTCACTTGCATTACTATTTTTATGAACGTTTCATCATTTAGAAATACTTTCTTATTTATAGAGGTGAAGGTGACGACAACACGACACAAATGTTTTATAGATATTACAGGCTTTTTATTGTGTAGGACAGCACGCGGCTACACGAATTATATTACATATGTATAAATTCGTAATCGGCATCTTTATAGTTACAGAGAACTCTTATCGCACATAGAATCATTTTTCAATCTCGAGGGTAAGGACAGGGTGACATCTTTTCTTGTTTCTTCTCTCAAACTGTGACGTAACGGACAGTATACACTTGGTTCAAGATGATATGAAAACGCGCATGCGCGCCCTCGCACTTCGAATCGTTTCCATTCGTAATAACATATACGCTCTCAAAACAGTGTTTCACTTTTTATGCGTATCTCGCCGAAAGCAAATCATAATAATATGAAGCTGATCGAGAGTCCGTCCGTTGTAAAAAAGGAAGTGTTCACGTGAAAAAAAAAATTTAAAAAAACAGTGAAGAATGATTGGGCGGGAATCTGAGTGAGAACCATAATGACGACAATGATCTAGTGACATCAACAGAGTGTCTGTGCATTCGATCCTTAGGACAATAATCGACATGTAATATCCTACGATATTGCATGTCTCTGAAGAAAATGTTTTTATCTATCAATTTCCCTTTTTTTCTCCTACTTACGCCCGGTGTCACGCGAAACAAACAGAAATAGCGGAAAGAATGCTAAAAAAACGACATTTCGCCGCTGACACTTCTCATCGAAGTCGAACGCGATTACGACTATTAAATTCTATTGTAAATAGAGTATCCTAATAAAAAGATTCTCGTTGCGCGTATCACGTGACTTTTATGCGTAGCTCGACACGCGCGATAATTAACAAATTCTTTTCTTTTAAAACTTTGTATTTTATAAAATTTCTGTCTTCACTCTCTCACACAAATACACACGCACACTGATTCTTTCACACACGTTTCTTCTTTTCTCTCTTTCTCGCACTGTTTCCCTTTCACACTCGACCGTTTTCAAGGACTTGTTTCTCTGTCTTTCTCTTTCCTAACCTCAACATTCTTCTACTCATCACCATCATTGTCATCACCATCTCATCATTTCTTTTTTGGATTGGCAGGCGAGTTAAAGCTGCCGCTCGCTGGACTAGAGATTTTACTACTGCTTTATTGCGCATCCGTTGTTCGACGACAATTTTCCTCTTTCACTCTACTGTGTGTCTCTATCTCTCTCTTTGTTTCTTTCTCTCTGTCGCTTTGCTCTCGCGGGAACGGCTAGGAACCGCAATCCCAATTTTCATAACTTCTCGTCTCTTTTCTTCCATGACTTATCATGCTTTTTCTTCTTTCCTTCCTTCTCTCTCCAGCGAATGTTTCTTTTTTTTCTTTTCTTTAAATATATACTTATGAGCACGTTTCCTCGCCACATGAACAATTTCCGTCCATGGACAATTTGTCTGCTGGGAAAGAGCTGCTCGATACTAACAGTTCTTTTTCGCCGGATTGTTGGGCACCATGTTGTGGAAAACGATGAACGAGCAATCATGATTTGCTTCCAATTGCAAAATTGGATAGAATGAAGTTGATATGACAGGTAGATATGTTTGTATCTTGTGATGCGTTTGTTATTCTTGTAAGACCATTAAAGAACAAACTAGAAGTTAGTTTCTAAACTTGTGAATGATCTGAAATCAAGCAAGCTCTTAATTGTAATTTGATAAACATTAGATTCTGGTCTTTATCAACTCAAATTTTGTGGAAAATAGAGTGGCAGCACAGTAACAGCGTGTCCTGAGGTTACATAATCCCTTTTCAATACTTTACATATCCCTAGATGAATTATTTGTAACATTAGAGTTATAATAGTATTTAAAGTCATTAAGACAAAGATTAGCACTAACTTTTTATCAATAGTAATAAATCTGTACTTTTAAAAAATATTGCATAGATTTTAAATATATCATAATATTTATTGGTAACATTGTAAGTTTGAACAAGTAGTTAAATAGAGTTTGATAACTTCAAGACACACCACAGCTTCATATGAAATCACTTTGTTCGTTGGACAGAAACACACAGTGTCTCATTATTGTCAATGTACCTTTGAAAGTGAAGTAGAATATGCAATTCCTAGCAATTTCACATTTATATTGAGGAAACATGACACCCTTCTGTCGAATCAGAATTACACGAAATGCAAAAATCTCTCTCCTGACTAAATTCATTTAAAAAAGAAAACTTATCTCGTCCATCACAATTCCTAATACTTCCTCGAGCAGACTCTAATTTCCACTAAACCGCGAGAGAAGCCGACACACAAGCGCATCACAAAGGACAATCCACCCTCAACAATCACTATTTCCTAAGAGTAACAAATCGGAGAAATACGAAAAATATACAAATCGTATCGCTCGTCCTTCTCATCCTCGCAAGTTCAAAACGTCTCTCTCTAATTGTGAGCAATGCTCAACGGTGCAAAGGCATAGAGCTTAGAGATCATCGGAACGAATGATCGGGAGACGAACTTCTGGCCAGGGCGATCTCTGTCGATCGATAGGAGGAAGCTCAGGCGAGCAACGCGAGTCACGCGACGCGAGATGCCGACTGTCGGTAAAATGTCTATAAGGCACGGCCTCGAGGACGCTCGTCTCTCGTCGTCGTAGGATTCCGTTTTATTTTTTTTTTTTTGTTTCTTTTGTTCCTCTTCTTTTGCGTCCGAGGGCCGGTTGGAGGAGAGAAACGTCGCTGCCCTTGGCGCGTCTCGCTGCTGTACGAAAATAAAGCGATCTCACGTGGAGAGGATGATCCTCGTGTACTCGATCGGCCGTAAAACGAGGAGATCGTCGTTATCGTTCCATGGCCGGTCGATTCGACTTTCTAACTCGCGTCAAAGGAACGCGAATGTGTTTGGTGAGAGGCAGTGATTGCTCGTCCAGGCAAATTACAAAACGGAAATCGCGTTTTCGAATTGATAGACATCGACAAAACGGTCGTGCGAGATGCTAGAAAATTCTATAAAACGCTTTTAGTCCATAACAAATGAGAAACTCGGATGGTCGAAAGAGGTTAGGCCACGATCAAAATTCGAGACATAATTTTTGTTCAGTCTACTTATCGTTAGTACAGCACTTGGAGTATTTGAAGAGGTCGAGGTTCCCATGGTCTAACGTCCACATGACTACCGAGCTTCTCAAATAATTCCCTTTTAGTCGTTAACACTGATAAAAGCCTCTAAACATTGTCCCTTAGAACGCTACGCAATCTAGTATATAGTAACTTCGCTTGTACTTTTTGTCGTCGATACGGTTAGGAATACAACGCGGAGGTTTGCGGTTAAAGATAATGTTTAGCATCTCGCTGGACCGTTTCCAATGATGAACAGGAGAGTATGCGAAAGATTCTAAACGTTTTTTATTGCCTTTGCTTCTAGTACCCGATAATTTCGTTGCAAACTGCATTCTTTTGGAAGAGTTCAATATTGCAGCTAGCTTTGTCAGAAAAAAGTCAGCGCATAAATTCCATTGTTCCTTTAATATATTCAATTCCAAAATGATCATCCAGTATTGTTCGATGCAGTTGATTAAATAGTTTCTTGGCTTTGGCTACAAGAGTTAAAACTTTATTCTGCAAATTTCATTCATTCATTCTGCAAACATTTAGTGCCACTTCTTTTTTTTTTTTTTGGTAATATCTCAACATTTTTTCCACTTTACGATTATCACCACACTTATACGTAGTTACAACACTAACGATACATTGAAACTCTTCCAAAAACAGCACTGTTCACATTCGAGAATCGTTAAGTTTCATCGTCAGTCTGATTTAACGCAAATTCTTCCGAAGAATCACATAATATCATCGACGTACGATTCGCGCGTTGAAACTGCCACAGACGAGTCTCTACATTCTTTTTCTCCATGTAGCAAATGGGAGGGGGAGTGGGGTTATGGGGGAGCGCGAACTCGGTAGAAAAACGGTAAAGTGTCCACGAAAAGATGGCAAAACAGAGGAATGTGGGTTTCTGATTGGATTTTGGGTCGTACCTCCACTTCCATAAGCCAACCTTCTCTAACACAATCATAGAAATAGGGCACACGTATTGTCATTATTGTCCGAACGCGACATCGACGAATCGGATCATACAGCACTGCGTGGCGGAATATTCGAACTGTGAGAGCGAAGTATCCCCGTTGCCCCCGTATAGTCTCACTTGCCATCTTCTGGTGGACGCACAGTACTAAAACGTATCGAAAACCATCGTCCATTTAAGGCTGACTGCGTGGAGGAATGAATGCGAGCCCGTTTTGAAACGTACGCAGAGCGGGGAAGAATCATGTCGCGCTGTTTCTTTGGTAATACGTACACGACGTTATTCATAGCAGTTGATTATACACACACCACAGTTACTTTAATGGTCACTCGAACCGCTTACGACATCAATTTATGCACACATATCCAAGCGTTATTGTCAAAAGTAACAAACGAGGAAGGAACGCGCACGCACGTTCATGCAAGCTCGAGGACACGGGTTACGACGCGCGGTCGTTCCAACTCTGCGAGAGCAAACTATAAGAAGACGAAGGAGGGAGAAAAAACAAAAACCTGAATAACACATAGATGAGAACCCAGGAGAGGGCGTTAAAAGCGAGATAAATCTAACCTACACGCGCCCTGGGCGCTGTGCCTTACAAAGACTCGCTTTCTCTACATAATCACACGAGCGTATTCTTTAATTATTAAATAAAATAGAAACGCGCTACGATCGATCCCGACCCAAAATTCTGCTCCAGATGATTCTCTATATTCGAGACGACGCGATCTGGCTTCTGTAGCGGAATAAAAAAAAAAAAAATAAAGAAAAATAATGGTACCCGTCGAATAGAGCTACTCTCCGTATAAGAATAACATAACGACCACTATTTTTATCGTGTAAAATCATGAATAATATTACTAATCGTACAAATAAAGAATAATAAACTAAAGGCTGAGAGAATAGTAGCAGCAGTAAGTGGTAATGATAGTAACGGTAGCGATAATATATATATGTTGTGTGTGTGTATGTGTGTGTGTGTGTGTGTGTGTATATATATATATAATATCGATTGTGAAAATATCTAACAAGGAGATTGGAAGACCTTCGAACCGTCGATTTAGCTGAGACTGTGAACACTGGTAGATTTCCTCGTAATGTTTATGAAAATACTGTATTCTAGGGACAGATAATTAATACTTTCTCAAAATATTCACAATGGAAGAGTACAATTGAGTAGAACGAACGTGTAAACAACGCACGTAGCGTAAAGGTGTCCCTGTACAATATTTTTTCTTCCCTGTTTATCCGTAACAAATAATTACATTTCACACGCAAAAACGTATGGTGAATGTTAAATAAATTTTATTACAAATATATTTTCATGAAAATGTTTTTATTTACTATTTAAGGTTTTCAATTTATTTACTATATATACAAATACAATAATGACATTACTTTTTACGGATAAACGGAAAGTGAGAAAACAAAATTGAGAGAAAAAAAAAAACAGAAGAATTGTACATATACAGGGGAATCGTTCTTCGACCTTTAACGTCGCGTGGTTATTAAAAACCTTCGATTGTGAATATTTTGAAAAAAAGAAAAATAAAGATACGATATAATACTTTCACACACACAAATAACAGAAATTTGGCCAGTGTTCAGAAGGCTCAACTACAATCGATCGACCGAGGATCCTACACTCTCCTCAAGATCAATGTTACTCTCTCTTCCCTTCTTTCTTTCTTACTTGGTTCTCCACTCATTCTCTTCTATCTCTCATACGATCACTCATTTCCTCAGTTCTCTGTCAATCTCGAAGGCGTACACGCGTACAGCAGAATCTTTAGCGTCACTTGTCTGAGACCGATGTACAGTTTCAACCGACAATTGTGCGAGTTTTCACTGACGACACACTTGTGGACAGCGAACCACTGACGAAACCAGGACCCCAAATTCTTGTCCTCTTGATGATCACGAACGTAGATCCAGTGTTCTCGTCTTGCGATTGTGATAATTTTTTTAGTGGCAGTGAACGCATATTCAGCGGACATCAAATTTACTCTCGTATCCTACTTGTTCGTCGTCGAACATCCTGAGAATCCCAAAATTCCTTCTTCGCCGTTACATAGGACCAAATCTGTAGAAAGAATCGGCAGTGGAGAACAATACAGTCGAGATCGCTGAACGTCGAACGATTCCGACTTATCCTGAGCACAGAGTTACTCCAGAGGAGACGAGAACACCGGGAGAGGAGACCCGTAGAGTCGAGGCGGAGTCTGAATTCTCGCCTGTGCGTGTTCCGAGGAGACGAGTAAACGCGTTCATGGCCGGGCATCGCACAACATCAACCTCTGGAACCGTTCTTTTCGCGGATTGGCCGCGCCGCCGTTCAGGATCTATAGATACGGATCACGTCCCTGATGGTCGCTCGACATAGAGGACAATGTCCACCACCTTTGCCACACCATTGCTGTATAGCACAGGGATAGCACATACACATGTGGCCGCACATGTACAAAACGCTGTCGATACTTCTTTCGTAACATACTGAACACTCGCTCGGTTGTCCAGGTGTAGGCTGCAGGCTCTCGCTCCACTGTTGCAGGTGGGAAGACGCTTGGGAGGTAAGAGTGCCGTCTAGGCTTTGATAATTCACCGGTTCGACGTAGGTAGAGGAGCCTGTACTGGCCATGGTACCCGTTAAAGGTGGCGAGGACTGTCTGGAGGATCCAGGATGCGACGTGGACGCTGTTGATGCTGTTGCTACCGCTGCCGCGGCTGGAAGGTGCGCCTGTTGATTCCTGTGTCCGGCGGAGACGTACGTGGGCTGAGGAGTAGACGAGGACGGCGTGACGTAGCTTGTCTGAGGTGGAAGGTTTACCACTAGAACCGTTCCTCCACCTATGGCCGGTTTGAACTGAACCATCTCCGAGAATCTGGATAATTCCGTGGCCGCGTTACTGTGATTCGAGTGTTGCTGCTGTTGCTGTTGTTGTTGTTGCTGTTGCTGTTGCAGGACAGTCGACGGAGAAGGATTGGTCTGACGTTGTCGCGGAGGCGACGATGGTCTCTCGGCCAGCATTCTGACTCGCTGCGTGCTACCGTATACGTCGAAGAACGCCCATAGCTGGAGACTCTGGTCTACGTGTAACACCACGTTCGGTGGGCCGCCGTTTTTACTCATTTGTACCTCGCCGAAGTGAGTCACTGTGAAGGCTATTTCGTCCCCAGGTTGAGGATTCGACGCTACGTCTTTGAACACGACCCAGTACTCCGGACGATCTAGAAGCAGGTCGCTGTCGTCTGGTAGGTCCTCGGCGGTGATTCGAGCTGGGTCGCAGGATGTTAGACCGAGGGCTAGAGCGCCGAGGTACAACGGTTCTGTGGCTAGGATCTGCACGACCAATCGTTCACCGAGTAACAACGGTCGACTCGTGAACGCGTAGCCGTGACAGAACTCGATGTCCGTTCGCGTCGCCACGCATTGCTGGTTGCTGAAGAGGATGTTCCTGCCTCGAGTCCTAGAACACGGAGAAACAAGGAAGCTGTTAACGAACAGTCTACTAAAATGGATGCTTCGTGATGGTTGGAAACGGTGGTTTCAAGTAGAGGTAGAACTGAGAATTGTTTCAGATGAAGATAGAAAGGGAAGCTTGCCAAAGAGTGTTTCAACGATTATTCTTACTGGAAGGCTCAACAGTATGTAACGGAGCTTTCAAGTGAGAATTGTTAGGAAAGTATACTTAGAAATTGGTTTGAAACACTGTGAAAGTTTCCAAGTAATCGCATAATACATTGTAAGCTAGACAGGTTGGAAGATTTCTTTTAGAGCTTGCTTTAGCACAGAGCAAGTAATTAAAATATGCATGGTTTCAATTTGGAGTACACTGAAGCTCCCGAAAGGACTCTGTTAGTATTCAATCAGGGCACCTGATGGAAATCGATGCGAGCTGGAGAACAAATAACACCGGAAGACTGTTCTAACTGTACAATGTAGCTACGAATGAATCGATAACACTCTAATTTCACGATTGAACTCAAGTAGACTTCTTTGCAAGAAACTTTAAAGGTAATATTTTCAAAGCTGTAAACAATTTTTAGTTTTGGTTCTGAAATTCTTAATTTTTAATTCGAAAAATCTGAATTTTTCAATTCAATTTCTCTTGACGAGTACTACACACGCCCCCGACATTTTTTCAGGGAAACACCGTGGTTAAGGGGTTAAAACACGAAGTCGTCCAACCAGGTTGCGAAGCAACAAAGGAGATCGGCGAGAATACTCACGGGTGGAAGGGTAACGGCGTGAAGATGACACCGGCAGGCTGAAACCTAAGACCGGGCAGCTCTACGTCGTGCTCATGATGGATCGACATGCTCTGCATGGACGGAATGACCCTTTCGAGGTGTCCCTCCCCACGGATGTCTCTGCTCGCGTTGCTCGCGTCGTCCATGGCCGTGTGCCTGCTGTGCTGTGCATTGTCCTCGTTGCTATGCTCGGCGCCTCTCCTGATGTTGTTGAAATGTTGCCTGTTGGGATCGACGAACTCGATCGCTGTACAGTTGCCGTACACGTCGATCAACGCCCATAGAGGACCCCGGGTCTCGACACCGCCGAAGAACACACCCTTCTCCTCCCCGTTCATACCGAAATGAACGTCTCCGGCGGACGTGACGTAGTAGAAGAGCACCGCGCCCCTTTCAGCCAGTCTCTCGGTCATGGCCTTCGCCCAGTAACCGGGTTTGTTCGTTAGGTCTGGACAGGCGTACCTTGGCAGGCCGTTTTGCAGGTTGATCGGGTCGTTGCTGGTGAAACCGAATCGGATCACGCCGCTCCAGTTGTTCGAGAGCTCGAGAAATTTCACGCATACCTGCAATTGAAGATTGGGAAATGTTGTTAGACGATTTGGGGAGAGTTGGCGGGGGAAGTAGTGGGTTATTGCAGAAGTTCGTGTCGATATTTTGTAATTTATGATAATTATAAATATAATTGCAAATTATAATTTAACATTTCTAACGAATCTTTAACTTTGATCAAGGAAAACGTTAGTACCTTTTCATTCCACAATTATTTTCTATTTTTTCTTTTTTTCTTTTTTGGTAACAATATTATGTCGTCTCTACAATATTTCCCTGAATTTTCATTGAAATCTGTTTTGCTTTCGGCACGAACTTATGGAAGGATTAAGTAGCAGCATTGATCGATGCAGCGACACGTTTCAGGTTTTTGATTAGGATCGAATTAAAGTTAAGGCTTCCTGCAGCTCTGACTGAGGTTTCTGTCGATTGTCTATATTTCTTCTGCAGACTGTAATTATTGTTGGTCAGTCAGGGAAAAAGAGATAGAAAGTTGGGATTCGAAGGTAGCAGGTCGTTGAACCTTTCGTTAAAAGCCACGCTGACCTGCTGTTTCATGAAGATTTGAAACAGAGTAACTGTCTGTCTTGTACTTTTGTATAATTGAATCGATAATTTTAGAAATTTGTGATTTTTAGAGCTTAGTATTTAAATGACATGAAAATGTTTTGTTCAATTGATAAATCTGTGTAGTCCACAGTGTCCAAGAAAGAATCTAAGTGATGAATTAGAATACCAATGATTTAGGTGAGCTATGAATAATAACAGTAGACACTTAATCCATTAAAATCCAAAAAATTTCCTGTAATTATCCTTCCATATCATTCACCTATATATCAAATGCTTCAGCAGTTGAGCAATAAGATGAACAAGAATTCAAGCTATCAATTAAAATATTTCAAGACCAACAATCTCCCTGAAAATTACTAGCATTCTATTGGAAGATCGATATATCATAGAAAGCAAACGAAAATGCGGTGTCTTATAAATGGTGACCATGAGAATGCTTTTTAATAGGCCACAACTACCTGAACGTGTTCACCTTTATGCTCTTAGAATTCTTATGACACGATCTTCTCTACTTTCCCAATGAAATTTAAACAATTTCTCTAATGTTTCTTTCTTTTTGTAATTTCATTTATTCTTCGATTAGATACTGCACGTATCTTTTGTACAATTTACAGACTGGAGTGGCGCACGATTTCATAGACAACCAGAGGTCTTTTTCGCTACCAAGTTCGGCCACGTTATGTCACGAGGCTGAACGTGACGAAAATCCTAAAGGCGATAGTTAACGGGGGGAACAGTTACGAAATATCGAGTTCGCGTCGATGTTCTTTTTCCTAGAACCGAATGTCTCTCTGCCGGTGGCTTTGTCTTTTTAAACGGACCCTCCTTCACGCTTTACAATTCTCCGTGACGATCGACGAATCGGGAATACGGTGAGCGCTGGATCGCGGTTCGAGCAATTTCGAGGGAAAAATGGAATGGAAAAAATTTCAATTTTCCTGGAAATGAAGGAATCTAAATGAAAATTGAAACGAAGTAGAGAAATTTCGAGGGAAAAATGAAAAAGGAAAAATTTCAATGAAAACTGAAGTGAAATAGAAAAATATTTCAATTCTCCTGGAAATGAAGAAATCTCCATGAAAACTGACATGAGATAGAAAAAATTTCAATTTTCACGTTTTTCACAATTATTGCTACGATATTTTTGATCGGTTAATTATGAGATTAAAGTGAAAAATCGGTAAATATCGACGAAGAGGAATTTTATTTTTATTGTTATTTTTTGTAATAGAGATATTTTTGGACGTTTCATCCTGTTCATTCAGGAGCAAGGAAATAATAAGAGTAATAGTAAATTTTCTGAGAAAATGCAATGCCTAGAAGGCTGCAATTCCATTGAAAAAGAATTGAGAAACTGGTAAATAACAAAGTAAGCCGTAAGAGATTGTAAACGAATGAAGAAATAAACGTGGAGCATGACGGCATAGTAAGTAGAGATTTTTAATTTCTCGTGAAGGAATTCAAAATGTATAATCTTCGGGACCAGTGTGCCCACGCAAATACCTCGGAATAATTCGTACCTTATCAGCCTCCTTGGACTTTCTGATTCTGTACCAAGTGGAATAGCAATCTAATTTCTGTCATTTTTAAATAAATTTCACAAATCCTTGTGACTTCTATTAAATCTCTAGACTTAAAAATTGGAACACTCTGTAAAAATCTATCAAAAGAGATATTAGACAAAGTAGGGAAATTACAGAAAGTAGAATTCTAATGGAAACCATTTTAACTAGACAATAAAAATGAGTTAATCTTTTGGTCTCTATTTTTTCTGTCACTTTTTCCATGTATTCGATATTAAAAATGTAACGAATTTGTCAAAAAATAAGCGAATAATTAATAAATTGCATTATCCAAGTATGTTACTTCAATTTAACCTGAGTATCCCACGGTAGATCTTGGAAATCGACTAAAATCGTCAGTTCTACTGCTATACCAGTTATAGAAAACAATTTTATTCTCAATTCTGTGGTACAAATCAGTCAGAGTGTAAACATTCAAAGGTGTTTAGTGAAATCCACGAAGAACCTTCCAACAATTCGCCCACGTACTCTTCAACGTCTTCCAGGCGAGAGACGAAGGATGAAAGAAAGAGGCGCGAGTTCGTATAGTCGATGGAAGAAATATAACTTGCCCAACTTTGGTTTTTTTTTTTTTTTTTTTTTTAAATAATTGACTCCATCGAAAACTTTTTACAAGGGCTATATTAAATCACCCTTGAACAATATAAAAGTATTTTTTCCTCTTAACTTCTTTGCAAAATGGCGGCGCTACAGCCACATCACCAAACCTCTATTTCCCTCAAAAACCAGAAAAATTCGATGCTTTCAAACCTTAAATAGCGACTAATACAGTAACAAACAGAGTCAAATGCGACATTTTTAAGTTTTCGATTAGAATTAAATCAAAGCCAACTTCACGCAACCTTAAAGTTTCACTTCCTTAAATTCCCAAATTTCCCTCGACTCTCTTCTGTAAACTTTGTCAAACCATAGTGTACACTTCGACACCTGACCAATTTTACCATTTCGCCATATTTCTTCCATCGACTATACACTGGTTGCCACGCGCCTCCACTTCCACTTCGCGAATCAGCTGGCGCACCGGCGTGATATCCCGGCGTCGCGACGTCGACGGGTCGAACCGCCGTCGTCCCACGCGAAACTCCGTTCAGGGTCGATCACACATCGATCGATTCGATAGACGGAACGGCGAAAATGCAAATGACGAAAGCCGTCGAGCGGAACAACAGTCACCCGATTCTCACAATTAACCGTTGCCCTGGTGTATACGATTTGCCGCGAGGGAACGAGGAAACGCGAGAAAAACGGTGCTTTCCACCGTGGGGAAAAATCTGTCGATTAATTGCGCCGGCCTTGGCGAGTTGTTGTTCTGCTCTAGTACTGATATAGAAAGTTCCACGTTGGATAACAGCCTTCGTGTGTTGATATTGCGATGACTATAGAGGAGAATGGACTGTTTGGTTTTCAAGATTTTACGAAGATACTTCGCGTTGTTGATACGAGGTTCCAGATAGAAATATTTTGAATTTCGCAGCACAGAGTGTGTCTCGAAATTGTGCATTTTCAACGAAATTGGGCGAATTTTTAAAAAATTACTTATACGATTGTCCACTGGTCTATTTTTATGCAAAAGTGTTACTTAATATGTGTTGTGTCATAATGTTAATAAATGTGTTTTCTTTTATGATTCGAGTTTATTTTTCTGTGATGAATATGTAAGAAGGAACGGAGGTTGGAGCATGGAATGAGTGAAATGTCATCGGAGGAAAATTTTTAATAATTTACCTTTTCACCGACCCGAACCGGTCGTGCACTGAAGGTGATGCCTCTGCAAAAGCTCTCGTACCTTCTGGCGATGGTCCCGCCATTGCAAAGTCTGACGTTCTCACCATGAACCTGATGGAACGTCAGTGGTGGCATATTATTGGTGCCTGCATTGGACGATCTCGGTGCTGTAACAATAAAATTAAACGCCACGTTAGTTTTACGTCTATATACTTTCGTTACACGTGTGACATAAAGCACGGTTCGCAATAAATAACTATGAAACACTTCTCTTCTTGAGGTGTAAGAAAATAAAAATTCAATTCTTAACGAAGATGAGAAATTCAATTAGGACACGTTCAGCTCTGAAAACCGGTAAAGGCTGCATTTTATTCAGAATTCAGCTCCTTTCTGCAGATCTAACAAACACAGTGTATGATTAAATCTGAAGAAAATTCTATTAAACTTGAACGATCTAGTTTCACCGATTATCATTCGAGTACTATAGCAATTCAAACAGAGCCTGGCAAAATATTATTTGAAACAGTAAATAGTAATTAGTTTTATTTTAAATCATGTGTGTGTAACTGTGAAAATAAAATAGTTTATTTGTTGCAACAACTTTTCAAAAGTTGTGAAACTAGTGGGGCTATTTTGAAATATTTTGTTTGTTTCAATTTATTTTCAGCATCCTTCATCCGAACCGTGTGTTTCAAATAATATTTCAAATATTTCCCCTCGAAATTTAACCCAGCCAAACACAAGGAAAAGAAAGGAGTTTCTGTTCCAGGAAATACACGAGCCTAATTCGAAGAATTCAGGAAAAAGGAGGGTCCGGGTCAATCGTCATCTATGAGAACAGGATTTAAATCAAATCCTCAGGTTTCCTCATCGAAATTCCCAAACGATTAACCCAAAATCCACAAAAAAAATTCCAGTTTCCTTCAACTTTCTTTGGTTTTTTTATTTAAGTCGTTTATGCACTCTCGACGTTGCATCTTCGCATAAATGGCGAACGAGGAAATTTGTACAAGGAAAGTCTTATTCACGGGAATTCCCTTCGAGG